TTATTGGAAGGCTTCCTGTCCGTCTCATCTTTGTATATGTTTATACATATGAAGGGAATCTCAGAAGGAATTGCTGATGGAAGTCCAGCAGGCCTAAGTCAGAAAACCCTCATTTGTCTGGTCACATTTGTTGAGTTCTAAAGCAAGCTCAGCAAGCCTGGTTCAATGTGACTGTCTGCTCCGCGCCTTGCCCAGAAACATTTCACCCACTGTGAATTACCATTCAGAGGTCATCTTTCCTTACCTGGAGTGGATCAAAGATAACAAGGACTAACTTGAGAAAGTCTGAGCTTTCCAGGATGATATTGGGTGCTGAACGAGGTGAGTAGTGTCTGTTTTGTTATGTGTATTTTGCTGAAATGGAAAATGTTAATTTGATTCCCCATGTAGCCCATTGGGCAACATCTTGAAAAATTGAGAATCTTTTGCCTATGGCGCCATAAAACAGAAAAGGGTAATTTCCTTTTGTAAAGTGGCTTGACCCCCACAGTTATGGCACAGAGAGCAGGATCATCAAAAGCTGCTCCATTCTTCTGGAAGCTACAGAGAAAGGGAACCTGGAAACCATGATGGCAAAAAGGGTAAGAAATTCTGATCAGCTAAGTTTCTGATATATATATATATATATCTGTGTGTGTGTGTGTGTGTGTGTGTGTGTGTGTGTGAGTTTGACTGACAGAAAAAAGAATCTGTGAGACTAGTCTTAAGTTATAGCAAATCTGGTACACTTTGTGCTATAATTTTTTCTTTCTGTAATGGAGAGAGGGGTATCACAGAATAGAACATGGGTTTGGGATCCCTATAAGCCTGCTTTCAAGCCAGCCTGGCAGGCTAATCAGTTACAAACTTCATTGTGTGTCCCTGAAACCAATACTCAATGATATTTCTCTGTCTTGTTTAGTGTCTTTAGGAGCTTAACCTTGTGACCATGTGGGGATACTTTCTCTTGGTCTCCACCATTTAAAGGACAGAAATTTGGGCATTCACATTAGTTAGCCCTGAAAATTATCTTGAGCAGTTAAAAGCCTTTTCATGCTTGAAATTGGCTGCTCTAGACTTCTGGAAAGAGCAATAGAAACTGCTCGATGCTGTGTAACTCAGTAGCTAAGGCTTTATCTTTCAACAGTGGTGGCAAGTGTTCAATTCTTGGCTTCCGGAAGGATTTCTTTCTGGCTTGTTACTTATGTAACTTTCCCATTTATTGAGAGTTTTTCCCCCCATGGGTAGCTTCTGATTTCCTATCTTGAATTTTCCATTCCCTGGGGAGATTTCCATACCCTTGGGGAGATTCCAAATCTTGTAAAAATAAAAACTGCTTACCATCTTTTTGAGACACCTTATGCATCCACGGTTAAGTTAGAACCTTAGTTAAAACTTATTAATTTCATGTGGGAAGTTACCTATGGTAGAGTTCAAATGCCAGAAATAGTGCCTGTCCTGGGTACAGTCTGGTAATAAGAGATATAAAATGATTTTTTTTTTAGAAAAAATAGCTCTATAGTTAAAATCAGCTTAATTAAAAACGAATATCCAACTTATGTATATTTAAGAGGTCTCATCTCTTCTTGAATTGTGTTCTTCCGAAAGTTTTTTTTCTTCTCAGTAGACTGAATTATTTTTCTTCATTATGTCTTCTTCCCACTCTTGATGCCCACATAAGAGAACCTAAGATAAATTCTAACAGCCTGGAACTCCTGGGGAAAAGCAGAGGAGGCGCCACAGACCCAATTCTAGGAAAAACCTGTTTTCCTCACAGAAGCCCAGGAATTGAAAGCCACTAGATCCCTCTCAAAATCTAAGACATTGTTTTGTTTTGCATTGTGTTATCTGATGGATTTGACTTTTGGGGGTATCAAAATTACTTTGTGTTATGGGAGAGCTTTTAGCCTTGGTGTGTAATAATTAAGTAGGAAATTTAAGGGATGGCAGATGGCAGTTACAGAAGGATGCTTGGCTCTTCACATACTTGGATCAGAGAAGCATGCTCTTGACCACCTGGAAGATATGGGAACACCTCTACCTCCTACTGAGAGATAAGGCTCCCATGGGGAATGGACTGATTACACAATGGGCTGACTGGCTTTGGGTTGCCTTGCAATGAAATGCATAGTAGAGGCACTGCACTGTTTGAACTGTCATTGCCCAGTTTTAGAAACAAGGTCACTCCAGCTACATAAAATAAGTTGGTAAAAATTTTTCATCTTTTTCTATTATCTTGAAGAATGTACACATGATAGAGATTATCTATTTCTTAAAATTCTAGAACTCACCTTTAAACCCATAGTGTACCGAAGCTTTTGTTGGGGAAAGGTCTTTCATTAATATTTAAATTTTTTAATGGTTATTGATATATTGAGTTTTATTATCTGAAGCTACTGGTGATTTTTAAATTTTTAGTTTTTCAGATTCATTGGCATAAAACTTATTCATAATATTATATAGAATTGTATTGTTTTCTTACATGTTCGACTCTGTTAGTTGTCTCTCCAACACCCATTTCCAACTCAATAACATCCCATGTCCATTTTTTCCTTGATAGAAGACATCTAATTTATTTCAGATATTTAGCCCTTCATGAAGCTTCCTCACATGCATATGCTAATCAGTACATTGCTGAACACTCAAGGGGGAATTTCTATAAATCTTTGAGATTTTCTTTCTATGCAGTTTTCTCTTTCTCAGTACTCTGCCTTGTGAACTCTAGCTGCCTTGGAGTCCTTCCCTTCTCAACACAGAAAAATTACCAGGCTGCAGCTGAGTTTGCCTTCCCTTTGACATAGACTGGAATCTCTCCCTAACGAATTGGAACAATCTCTCTCCAGTAAAGACTCACCTTGTTTGTTTCCTATATCTTGGAGATCACTGTCCTCCATTGCCTGATGTTCAATGCCTTCAGAACCATTATATCATATATTTTGTTTGATTTTTTAGTTATTTCAAGGGACAGGGTAAATCTAGTTCCTGTTACGTCATACTGATAAGCTAAAGTCCGTCTTGAGTATATAAAATCATGCTATACAAGCAGATCAAAGCACAATCTAACTCCTATTTCCTCACTGGGTTCATGGTTGGATTTGTGGCTGCATAAGCCTCATCCTTCTCCACAGTCAAGACAGATCTATTTCACAGCTGAATCTTTTGTATCTTAGAAGGACTATGCACCACAATGAAAGAAAATATACATCTGTAGAAACCTGAGGTCAGAATGATTTGGGGACTCCAAAATGTATCTAAAAATTTTGATGAAAATAAATGTTAGGATAGGAGAAGGGCAGCGGCATCCAGAAATGGGAATCAAGTGAAATGCAATAAATGCAGGACCTTCAGGATTAAGAACGGCATTTGGGTCCATCAGTGAGATAGACTGGATAAAGAAATGTGGCACATATACACCATGGAATACTATGCAGCCATTAAAAAAGATGAGTTCACATCCTTTGCAGGGACATGGATGAAGCTGGAAACCATCATTCTCTGCAAACTAACACAAAAACAGAAAATCAAACACCGCATGTTCTCACTTATAAGTGGGAGTTGAACAATGAGAACACATGAACACAGGAAGGGGAACATCACGTATCAGGGCCTGTTGGGGGTGGGGGGATTTGTGAAGAATAGCATTAGGAGAAATACCTAATATAGATGATGGGTTGATGGGTGCAGCAAACCACCATGGCATGTAACAAAACTGCATGTTCTGCACATGTATCACAGAACTTAAAGTCTAATAACAAAAAATTTTTTAAAAAAGAAAAGAAAGAACACAAAGCTGGAAAAAAAATGGCATTTGGATGTTTTTAAGTAAAAAGCATACCCAAACTTTCTTTCTTGTGTGTGCCATCAGATGTGTGACCAGAATTAATGAGAGTGTCTTAGGGAAGACCATGTAAGTACAAACCTTTTCTCATGAATCTAGGCAAGCACAACCTCAAGGTCAAAATTCCATAGAGTGAAAGCAAGGTCCAGCAAGGGTGACTGTCTCCTCGCTGGGCTCCTGGTTGGATTTGTAGCTGGATAAGCCTCATCCATCTCTACAGTTAGCAGAGATCTGTCTCCCAGCTGAAGCTTTAGTTCATCTAATATTTGCAATTTGACATTCAAAAGATTATTTCATAGGACAAAGAAGATCACGTTTGATGAAGACAAGAGATTAAATTAAAGTGGCCCTTACTTCCACTGTATGAAATTTTGCAAATAAGAATTATCTCTGACTTTGGTTCTGGAGAGCCCAATATCTATCCTCACCCATGAAAAAGGGAAGCTTATGACAATATTTCTTGAATAACCAAAGAGTGAAGCTAACAAAAACCAATGAAAGTGTCAGCATACAAGCTTGAAAAGGCAATCATCTTTCTCTTCCTCTCATCTACTCCAAACATCCAATTGATAACCAAGTTCTGCTCATTCTTTAAATAAATTTCTTTAAAATACTTTATGACCATTTTTCATTCCTTTCACAATTAAAGGAATCCAGCAACTGCCCTACTTTCCACCATGCACCAAGATCTTGTTATACTCTCATGCCATATGGCACATAACCCTATTTATTCCATATTTGCGATTTGCAATTCAAAAGATATTTGATAGGACAAATAAAATCATATTTGATGAAAACAAGGAATTAGTACCCTCTACATTTCTTCTCTCTTTCTTTCTTTCTCTTTCATTCTTTTTCTTTCTTTCCTTTTTTGTTTTTTTGAGATGGAGTCTTGCTCTGTCACCCAGACTGGAGTACAGTAGTGCAATCTTAGCTCATTTCAACTTCTGCCTCACAGGTTCAAGCAATTCCCCTACGTCAGCTTCTGAGTAGTTGGGACTACAGGTATGCACCACTGCACCCAGCTAATTTTTGTATTTTTAGTATAGACAGGATTTCACCATGTTGGCCAGGCTGGTCTGGAACTCCTGATCTGAGGTGATCCACCTGCCTCAGCCTCTCAAAGTGCTGGGATTAACAGGCCTGAGCCACCATGCCCAGCCTGTATTTAAATGCTTTTAATTTAATAATTTTGAAAGCCACACGCAATAGGGTTTAATGCAGGAGGACTAAGGTGATGGAGGACATTAAACAGGATCAGAATGTCCATGGGGACCTTCTTTCTGGACTAATTTGTCAACACCACCACCAGCAGGTGCTGAAGAAAAGGATGAGGATGAAGTGAGATCCACAAGTTCTCAGGGCCTTCACTGCCGCCCCCTTCACCTTGAATCTAAGCACAGCTCTTAGAATGAAGGTGTAGGAGAGAAAGATAAGGATGAAATCCGAGCCCAGCAAGGTCCAACCAGCCACAAATTGGTAGATTCTGTTAAGGGTGAAATTATCACAGGAGAGCCTGGACACAGACAGGTTGGCACAGATGCAGTTCTCAATGACATTTTCCCCACAATAATGGAACAGGGAAGTAAGGATAGGAATGGGTGCAGTAAAAAGGGCATTCCGCACCACAATGAAGACACTAGCTTTGGCCACAAATTGATTAGTGATGATGGATGGGTACCGCAGTGGGTGGCAGATGGCCACATAACGGTCATAGGCCATGACCATGAACGTGCAGGACTCCATGGGGAGGAAGCTGTTCATGATGAACATCTGCAGGAAGCAGGCAGGGAAGCTGATCAAACTGAGGCCAAACCAGAAGATGGCCAGGACCTTGGGGATGACGGTGAGGCAGAGCACGATGTCCAGCAGGGAGAGGAGGCTGAGCAGGTAGTACAGGGGCTGGTGGAGAGAGGCCTCCAGCTGGATGGTGGTCAAGAGGATGGCGTTGGCCCCCATGGCCAAGAGGAAGAGGAGGCTGAGGGGCAGGGACAGCCAGTGCTGCCAACTCTGGAAGTTGGGGAAGCAGATGAAGAGGAATTCAGAGACTGGGGCAGGGGAGTCATTGCTGGGTAATGTCATGAAATAAATTCTCAGTTGAGAAAATCTCACTTGGATTTGTGTATGATAAGGTACAGGAATTAGGTCAATAGATAACAAAGTTGTCAAAATATTTGCCAACACTTTCTCATCCAGAAAATTGATGAGATACTAATGGAAAATATAGATGAGAAATGGAAAAATTTATGATATACTCCCAATCCTATTATAAAGTAAAAGAAAATAAAGTTAAAAGTTGATTAAATATAAAAGAGAATCACCCAAATCCCTGTCATTCTGACTTACTGTACTGCTGACACAACTCATCCTGGAGATACTTAATCCAAGCTGCACAGGTGCAATTCAATGTTCCTATACAAAGTTAGGCTTAAAGGCAGAGTGTTCTCATTAAAATGTATAACCACCAACCTCAAATGAGTACTTAATATACATATTACATATTCATGACAATAACCTTCTCTGTTTAATTCATTCCTCAACCCATTTCAAACAATTTTTCAAATTTTCAAAGTTCTTTTCAAATACAAAATCTCCTCTCTCAGATAACCTCTCTAATCACTTTATAGAGACAGTAGAAACATCAGACACAAGTCCTCTTCTTCCCATGTTAGATTCATAAACCCATCAACATCTACTTCCTTGATCTCTTCATTGCATTGATAGAATCAAAGATCTATCCCTCCTCTGAATAGCAATCCTTGACCTCAGATTTGAATGCTATCTACCTTGACCTTAGGAACCTTGACTTATGAATCATCCTGCCCATTCCCTATGTATTCAATTTCTCCTAAATCCTTCCCATAAATACTCAAAATGTCCAAGTCTCTCATATCCTAACTATTTTCTTTATCTGTCACCCATCCCCATTTAGCATAAAAACCATGATTTTATTTTGGGGGGAAATATACTAAATCTCTTTCTTCTTTCCCTTTCACACCCAAACTTACGGGTCCAAAAGAGGCAAAGGACATCTATAAGGGGACAAAGGACTGTTGGCTTCAGTAGTCTAATTGAGAAATGATCAGTGTGTGAATAAATGGCTCTCAGATGACTCTGAGGATGAGGGAACGGGGCATATCTTAGAGGTATAAATGTAATGACAGACAGTGATATGACTGACTATTTGTATAGAAGAAGAGAGGGTAGGATTCTAAAACTGCACTGTCCATTCTGACTGAAATGATAAGCAAGTTTCACAAAACAAAAAATAGGCTTTGAAAAGATTTTATGTATGTTGCAGAGGTAAAAATTATGGATACAATTTAGTATGTTCAGCTTATTGGATCTGTAAACTATCAAAATATATATGACATTAAATGTTGTAGAAAGCAGTTTGATTTCATGTGAAAGCTAAAAGATAGAGAATTGGAAATCATCAGCACATCTTATATAGTTCAAACTATAGAACTGAATAAATTACTTAAGGGGAAAATGTAAATTTAAAATAAAACATGATAATGAAATCTTAAGAAACACCTCCCTTAAGCTTAGGACCAGAAGAGGTAAAGAGATTGCAAAGAGACTGAAAAAGAATGAACAGAGACATAATTGAAAATCAAATGGAATAGACAGACATGCTCACATGAAGAATTTTAGCTATGTGAGAAAGAGATTATCCATTGCATTTGGCAACTAGGTAATCATTGGTGATCCTAGCAAACAGTTTCATGTGAAGAGAGAAATAGAATGCGGGAGGACAGGGAGCCAGCAGGACTGGAGTCAGCAAACACAGGGAGGACTGATCACCTTATCAGAGATTCTTCACTTCAGCAAAGAAGTGAAGAGCTTCACGTGAAGGAAAAACTGGAAACACAGGTAGAAGTGCCTATGTTAAAAAGCAGATTGCATTGATTTTTTTTAAATAAAAGAAATTTGAATATGTTTAAGGGGATAAAGACTGTAGAAAGAAAAACACAAATGATAAAAAGAAAGATAGTTAAAGGACCAGCCCTTGGGGGAACAACTACTATTACTATTTAATACTGTATAAAACACATCACTGGCCTCTCTCGCCTCATTCCCCAATCCACTGTAATTCACTACTTTAGTGAAAGTACATGTAATGCATTTTCCAACTTTTTATCCCATGCTGTGTTTACAATACTTAGCACTCAATAATTCTTTTTTTTTTTTTTTTTTGAGACAAAAATCTCACTCTGTTGCACAGGTTGGAGTGCAGTGACATGGTCTCAGTTCACTGCAACCTCTGCCTCCAGGGTTCAATCAATTCTCCTGCCTCAGCCTCCCGAGTAGCTGGGATTACAGGCATATGCACCATGCCTGGCTAAATTTGTATTTTTAGTAGAGATGAGGTTTTACCATGTTGGCCAGGCTGGTCTCAAACTCCTGACCTCAAGTGGTCTGCCCACATCAGCCCCCAAAAATGCTGAGGATTACAGGAGTGAGCCACCATGTCCAGCTAATACATTTTTAATAAATGCTAGTGAGGTTTAGAGTTTTGAGTTTTCCAAGTCTATGGTATCTTAATTCTTTTCTTTATCTACCCTAAATCCCCATTTAGTATAAAGACCATGATTTTATTTTGGGAGGAAGTATACTAAATCTCTCTCTTCATCCTCTCTCACACCCAAATTTAAGGGACCAAAAGAGGCAAAGGACATCTAAAAGGTGATGAATAACCATTGGCTTGATTAAAGATTCAAAGAATTCAAAAAAGAAAAAAATAACATGAAAACATTAACCAAAGTAACCAAGGGAACAGATGGAGGAACTGAGGCAAGCACAGGAAGAAACTCAAAATATGAATCAGAGCTGAGCAAGCTGTGGGCCAGAGGTAGGGACAGCAGTGACTCAAAGTTCTTGTGGAAGCTTGGGGATCTTAAACAAGTCTTTCTATTTAATGGCCCTATGACCCCAAAAGCCTGAATCTTGGTGGAAGGGATATCCTTGATTCAGTCCTCTGACCTACTAGGTATTTGTTTCTTTATATGTATAGTACCACCAAACTACCTTTTTTTTTTTTTTTTTTTTGAGACAGAGTTTCACTCTTGTTACCCAGGCTGGAGTGCAATGGCGCAATCTCAGCTCGCTGCAATCTCCGCCTCCCAGGTTCAGGCAATTCACCTGCCTCAGCCTTCCGAGTAGCTGGGACTACAGGCACATGCCACCATGCCCAGCTAATTTTTTTTGTATTTTTAGTAGAGATGGGGTTTCACCATGTTGACCCATATGGTCTCAATGTCTTGATCTCGTGATCCACCCTCCTCGGCCTCCCAAAATGCTGGGATTATAGGCATGAGCCACCGCGCCTGGCCCAAACTATCTTCTTTATGAAAAAGAATACCTTAGAGATCTTGCAATCTTGCACTGCAGAAAATATCCCTTCACCCTGCAATATCTTATTTCTCACCCTCTGTTCATTCTCTTTTCCTTAGTCTACTGTTTCTGAAAGATCCTTTCTTTGACTTGTTCTTTTTCCTGCCTCTTATGTGTAGTCACCATCTACAATCATGCTTTACAATTCCCAGACTCTGATCCATCCTCTTCAAGTCCTCATTCCTTCCTCACATTGTGGAGAATTGTTCTGGTTAAGTTCATCCTCTGCTACACAGATTTTGCTAAGAAGATCATGCATAATATAAAGGATAAGAGAAGGGATACAAAAAGAAATAGGAGTAGAGAAAAAGTGGTCAGATACCTGGATGTATTGTCAGGTGGAGGCATAGGCAAGAATATAGTCAAATTTTGATACAATATGTTAATGAGAAATGTTAGAAAGGAATACTGTATTAAAAGAAGGTCACAGTGATCAGAGTAAGATGATAACTTCTATTTTGTTTGCCCTGGTTCAACCATGCTTAGAATATTGTGTCCAATGCAATGCACTTTGATTTAAAGACCAATTTTAAAACTGTATCACCTAGAAAAGTGCCCAGGATAAAGAAGACATTAAAAACTCATTATGAGAAACATTCAGGAAAGTGTAGATGTTTTAACTAAGAAAAGGCTTCCAAATATATGACTGACCTTTAAGGAAAAGAGGAAAAAAGTAGGGCCGCTAGGAGAAAATGACAGGGTAGTCTGTTTCTGCTGCTATAAATCATGTCTAATAATCAGAGGAAGCTTATTCTTTCCCATTAACACTGGAACATGTTGGGAGAAGGCACATTTCCTCACCAGCTCTTGCCCTGTGTCATATTAAACGCAAAATGCTATCCCAGACCCTTCTTTCCCTCTCAAATCCCTAGAATGCTTTTCTGGGCACACTTGCATGAAGTTCTCAGCCACAGAACACATGGGATCCCTTGCATGCAATGCTAATGGGATTGCCGAGACTATAAAAGGGCCTTCCAGGAGGAATATAGGATTTTAAATATTCGTGCATCCAGTACCACAGTTCCGACTTTTTCTTCTTTTTTCATGGGAGCCAATATAAGCATGAGAAAATTTTCTTTTCTGAATCCTCTGGTGACTCAGTATCTGCTGCAAGTAAGTTTTCCACATGATCACCAAATATGTGAATAACCCAGTATACACTGTACTGAGAGAGCTCAGACTGAGTTTTTCAGATAACATTGACTGGAAATACAATTGAAAGCCTGGAGCCTGAGACTGCTAGGAGTTCATATCAGAGTGCCCCTTAAGGCCATGACCTGAGAAAGAAGACTTTCTTAGTGGGTAAAAATAGAGGAATCCCAGAAAAGGAATATAATAGGGATACCTGTTGTCTTAGATTTGGTGCTAGATTAGAGAATAAGAGAGAGAGGGAGGGGAGGAGGGAAAGGAAACAAGGAAAAGGGAAGGAAATTATAAAGGAAGGAGAGAGAAAGGGAGAGGAGGGGAGAGGAGAGGAGAGAAGAGGAAAGAGGAGAGGAGGGGAGGAGAGGCTACTCCTTGAGAATTCGTAATCACAAGTGGTTGGAATCCACATCACATGTGAGTCCTAAAATCTCATAAGAAAATTACTGTTTTTAGTGGCTTAAAGCTATTTGTAACATTTCTTTTACTATCATTTTGATGTCTAAAATGATCTGTAGTAGTAACTCCTTTTTAAATCATCA